AAAAAAAAAAAAAAATGCAGTAAAGGTAAAGTATTTTGCTGTTTCACTAAAAAAGAAAAACAAAAAAAAAACACAACAAACATCAAACCTGTGACTCTAACATTTTTTTTAGGAATATGTTCTATAGGCCAAAGCAGCAACAAAAATTTACCTTTTGGAGAGAAAGTTTCAAGGAGGCCTCAAATCATCTTGTTAATGATACAAATGTTGTCCCAAAATATTTTTTCATGTATTTGCTAGTTGATGATGTATTTGCCAGATAATATAGGCACTAGGTAAATTTGGAAGGTTTAATAAACATCTATGATGGTAAAATGTATTAACTTTTAAATTTCAGAAAAATTGGAGAAGATGAGGGATCATGAACGAAAGGAAGAAACTTTTACCCCAATGCCCAGCCCTTACTACATGGAACTTACCAAGCTCCTATTAAATCAGTAAGTAGATCTCACCTCTTTGAGGCCACACCCAAGACTGGATGGACTCGCCATGCCCTTCCTCCAACCCTCGCCTTTCCTCTCCGCTTCTCTGCTTATTGCCTCAGTAAGTGGCAGCACTGGCCACCCTGTTTCTCAGGTCAGTGACCAGGAGGTCATCTGTGTACACACACCTGCCAGGTGTACTCTGTCTCTGTGTGTCTTTCTCCCTGTTCTTTCCCTTTATCTCTCATTTTTCCTTTTCTCCACCCCCTGGTGAAGCCCTTGGCTCTTTTTGTTCTGCCTCACATCACTCGACATTGGACCCTGGTGTGAGCCACCAGTATCTCACAGAATCGGCAGTAGCCATTCTTTGCCACGTATGTGTTTTATTTAGCACAGCTTTACTCCTGTTTCTCCTTGTAGTAGGTGGATTTGAGTTTTTTTGTGTCTTTCGCAGGAAAGGCCAGAGGACTCACATTTGCCTCTGCCCTTGGTTTACAGGAAAGCCCACTTCCTGGCAAAATCATGCTGTAGTAACCCCGTAGCTTGTTTGCCTTCATCCATACTGGCTCCTCTCAGCTTCCCATTCGTTCTTCACATCACAGTCAGAGTGGCCTTGGAAAGGCAGAACTGCCATGTGACTCCCTGCTTAAAATCCTGAGTCTTCCCTCTAAAGTCCTGAGCATGGTGTTCAGGCAGTGTGAGCCTGGTGCGTGCTCCCCCTCCCTCTTTCACCCTCTTACAGCTCTTTCCTCTGCTTCTGGAGGGCTCAGGCTCACACTGGCCCCTGTCACTTCTTTAAGAATTCTGACTTTGCATATACTGTTCTCTGCCCTGTAAGTCCGTCCTTTCCCTGCTCCTGCTCACCTCCGCTGGTTAGTATAACATGTCTCTTCTGGGTTCAGCATACATGTTCTCTTGGCAGCTCTGCACATTGCTATGGCATTTGCCAGCTGTAATTTTCTTGTTTGTCTGGCTGTGCCATCACATGTAGCCATTCTAAATGGGCAGGGACTGGGTCTCGTATGCATATGTCCCCAGCGAGATGCTTGGGGCTCATGTTTGTTGAGTGAAAGAGTGAAACTAGTAAAGAAGGCAGACAAGTGGATAATTTTGCTTGGGAGATACTTAGAATGTCATTTGTACAATGTCAAGCTTCTGAAGCCTCCTGGGCATCCTTTAACTGGGTTCAAGAGCAGAACTAGAACAAAACATTGGGACACTAGTACTACTGCATGCTGCAGAGCAGCAGGAAGGCCTGGGGGCCCACCGAATGGCACTGCTGAATTTTAAAGGAAGACTTGGGGACACAGCATGGGCTTGTGCTTAGGCTGATATGAGGCTGCAGTCAGCCCATGAATTTCATAAAAAGCTGAGAACCAGCAATGCACCAAGCAGTGGCGTTTGTCCCATAGGCCTGGTTCCTGGTGTGGTGGGGGAGAGATGCGGGCCTGGGAGCCCATAGTGAATCTTCAGTGTGACCAATGCTTTTGACAGTCCATCAGAGCACAGTAAGGCCAAGTGGTGCCAGAGAGGGCTCATAGAGGTTTGCTGGGAGGGCAGACTTGTAGGAGGTGGATGGTAGGAGAGAGGGCAATGAGGCAGGAGGAGCTGATGTGCTCTGGCACAGAGTGTGGAGGACCTGGTGTAGCCAGGCAAGCAGAGGTATTTGAGCATGTGTAGTACATTCATGGGAGCAGGGGAGTGGAGGCATAGATTCTGCTGCAGTGGACAGCCCCTGGGAGGGGCATGTGGCCTCAGAGGGACCTGAGAGAGACTGCAGTGGTGGTGGGGACAGTAGCTGGAAGGAAGAGGATCTATAAACAGGCTAGGTAAGAATTTGGCATTAGCTAGGTGAGGGGGCCTATTCATGTTTTGTTTTTGAAGTTCAATATGTATGTAGTTTTTATCAAAAACCTTGTTTTATAATTCATTTGGTTAAGGGACTTAGTTTTACATATGTTCTTCTGTTCAGTTGATGAGGAGTTGGGGTCTGTTGTTCTTTAACCTGCTGTTCAGAGCACAAGATCTAAATGTTTGGGGGTTTATAAATAACACTCACCACATAAATTTTGTACCAGTGATTTGCCTCTTACTAATCAGGAGTTATTTGTAGCATATGGAGAGAGAATGTCTAGCGTAACCTGTAATGCCTAGCGACGAACAATATTTGCTTTTGCTTTTAACTTGTAGTTTTTCTTTCAAGGTTAGTTTAAAATATTTCACAAAGGGAGCCTCAACTTTGTGAAAGCCTTCCTTCAGCCCTTGCTGACTTTGAGCTTCTAGCCAGAATTTTGCTATGTGTAGGTGTGCTCGCTGTATACTAATTTGCAGTTTCTTCTGTGATTTTTGAAAATTGTTTTTGTCTTCTCTGAAGAGCAGGAGAGTCCCTTCCCTTCAGGGCTTTTATGAGGATAGAAATGCCAGGTAAAGTGCTGAGCCCAGTACCTGGCATGGAGCTGGTGTTCTGCTTCTTTAGGCTGTGACCCCTGGATTCCTGGTGGGGAATAGGGAGATCTGCTCAACACTCTGTAAGTAAGGAGCAATAGAACTCGACCTTTCAGCCAGCCCTTGAAACTGATTCCTTGTAGATGGAGGTTATGCAGCACAGAACGCTGTTATCCTGAGACAGAGGGTTCTGACTTAGAGCTGATTCTCTACTAATTTTCTTAGGTAAACAGAAGTCCTGTTCAGCAGCCTGCCATGGGATAGTTACCGTGAGCAAAAGAAACACCATGTGGATCACTGCTGAATGTCCTTGGCACCAAGCTTAACTGCTACACATCTTTACATCCTAAAGTTGAAAACAAAGCAAAACAGACTTGCTGAGTCTGGAATAGCCGGAGTATTTTGCCTGAAAAGAGCCACTCTATCCAGCATTGCCTCAGCTTATCGAGTGTTCCCTGACTGACTTACCCCTTGCTCCTTTAGTGCTTCAGACAACATCCCGAAGGCAGATGAAATCCGGACCCTGGTCAAGGATATGTGGGACACTCGTATAGCCAAACTCCGAGTGTCTGCTGACAGCTTTGTGAGACAGCAGGAGGCACATGCCAAGGTAGGTGCCGCCTCACCTGGGTGCTAGTGGCCTTGATGCTGCATAATTTCACATGGCCTCCTGTCTGCTGAGGCTATTACAGGCAGGCATTACTAGCTGTGCTTTTTAAAAAGTTCATTGGTTTCTTATTTTTATTCGGTAGAGTTTACCATTTTCTCAAAATCAAAAACTCCTTGGCCAACTTGGTCTGTTTTCTTGTTTTAGCTGGATAACTTGACCTTGATGGAGATCAACACCAGCGGGACTTTCCTCACACAAGCGCTCAACCACATGTACAAACTCCGCACAAACCTCCAGCCTTCGGAGAGTACTCAGTCTCAGGACTTCTAGAGAAAGGCCTGGTGCGGGCGGCTTGCCGGGGGATGTGAGTGCTCAGGACGTGATGAGGTACTCGTGGTTCTGGAGCTCTAGAAACACTTTGAATGCATGAAAAACATGGTGGTGCAAGGAATGGATTCAGGACATTGTTGGAGAAGCAACAAGTTTGTGATTAGTCCTTAAAACTTAGCTCCCTGGAACATTGTTCAATTCCACATCTGTTTCTAGAAACCAGCCTTTTTTTTTCCCCCTTTTGAGAAAGAAAAAAGCTTTAGGCAAGTAAGTTATTCTCCCTAGCAGAGCCACATGGGTCTCCTGCGTGGAATCTGTCACACTCGGGCAAGTGTTCAGTGACTGGTAGGTATAGATACAGCAGGAGTGGCCATGTGGCCCACAGCTTTTTTCTGCCTTCTTAATCCTGGTTTCTTGGGCTGAATTTGGACTCTCCCGGAGGTGGCTCACAGGGAAGGATGGCAGATGGTGCAGCTAACAATGCTGACCAGTGCTTTTCCTCTAAGCCCTGATGCACAATAAACATGGACCCAACCCAACTCTGACTCTTTAGGTTTTTGTCCTGCATAACTACCAAGTAAAAGGACTGAGCCTGTGGCTGAGATGACTCAGTAAACTAAACTGAGGCACACAGCAGTCAACTGGAAACTGCAGACCAACACCTGGGGTGTCTCGTTCTCTTGGTTACTTCTAGCTCAGGTTTAATGGGTTTCTTATCAAGGAGAGTCAGGAAAAAAACGAAACCAATGTATTGAGCATGAGTGACACTTAAGACAATGCTAGAAGAAAAGTCAGACTTTTAACGCTGCCCTGATGCATTTAGGGAAGGATTCTTTGTTGTAGGTAACAGTGGGCTCAGGGGAAATTATTTTTTTCGTAAGAGAAAATAATTTGTAGCATTTTGGAATGGTTAGGTCCTTTACAGAAATGACATTACCTTGAGAGATGAAATGATTGACCAGCATCATGCAATGGATAAGAAGGTTCTGTAACTAGCTTTAAAAAAAAGTTTAAATTTTTTTTTTTTTTTTACGGTGGTTCACGCCTGTAATCCCAGCACTCTGGGAGGCTGAGGCGGGTGGATCACAAGGTCAGGAGATTGAGACTATCCTGGCTAACATGGTGAAACCCCATCTCTATTAAAACACACACACACAAATTTGCCGGGTGTGGTGGCACGTGCCTATAGTCGCAGCTACTTGGGAGGCTGAGGCAGGAGAACGGCTTGAACCCGAGAGGCGGAGGTTGTTGTGAGCCAAGATCACGCCACTGTACGAGAGCAAGACTCCATCTCAAACAAATTTTTAACTTTGTTTTTAGACAGGGTCTTGTTCTGTCACCCAGGCTGCAGTAGAATGGGGTGATCATAGCTCACTGCAGCCTCCAACTCCTGGGTTCACGCAGTCCTCCCACCACAGCCTCCCAAAGCACTGGGGTTGCAAGCATGAGCTGCCATGCCTGGCCAGCCTGTTTTTGGCTGGACACCAGTGGGCCAAAAGCAGTGGGGTGCTGTTTGGGGAGCTCTGAGAATGCACGTGTGTGACAGGCTGAACCTAAAAAGACCATCTCCCAGCTTCGGCCCTACAGTGTCTAGCATGCTGTGCACTATTGCTCCACGTTGCTGCCCACGTGTCCCCCGCCAGGCAGGTGTTGGGGGTTATTTGGACACTGAAGGGTCAGACCTGGAAGACTGGGACCGAAAGAACAGGTCTCTATAATTTAAGGTGCTGTTCATAGTTAGTTCAGGTTGTAAGACTTGTTCTTTCATCTTACCCTTCCTCGGAATCCTCTTGCTTTCATCTGGGGATCTTTTAGAATGAAACTACTTGTTATTGTGGAGGGCAAGGGGTCCTGATGCCCTCCTCTTAGAACCTGAGCCAGTCGAGGCAGCTGCATCTGTCTACGTGTTTTATCTGTGGAGATGTATAGTTATGGAGCTTTTTTTGTTTGGCCTTGTTTTATTATATCATAAAAAAGATTTTCCTTTTAACATGATTTAGGAAGATTTTATTTTTTGGATGTTGTCAGAAATTACAGCAATATATTCATAAATACCTAATTACTACATTCAACAAATAATATTACAATACAATTAATTCAAACAAGTACACTTAGAACAGGTTTAATTTCACAGCATCTAAACTGCCCCCAGAGTGACCGAGGCACCGGTGTTCCTCCCTCCCACCTGTGTATGGGTTTACTGTTCTAGAATTAAGCACAGGGTACATACAAAATAACACCAATTAGCATGGTCTTCCTCAGGTCAAGGCAGAGTTAAGGAGTTTTTTTAGGTTAAGCACTGGATCGAAAAGTTGGGGACAGGCTACTGCAAGTAGTAAGAAAGTCAACAGCTTGGTTACTTGAAAGAGTATAGAGATTGCTAAGTGGCTAATATACACTTTAAAGAGGAACAGCATTGGTTTGTGCTGACCATCTCCATCTTGTGGTGGATCCCTGGAATTTTCTACACTTGTGTGAAACACGTGGCTCAGGGAAAGGGGGAGTGGAGTATCTGCTTTGAAATTCAGCTTAATTTTTGAGATTTGGCAGTATATTATGAGCTACTTGAGGAAAACAGCATTCTGCTACAAACTGCAGATTCCCTGTGTTAGAATCCTTCACCGCTGAAGGTGTGGGCTCCTTTTTGATGCTCTCTGAATACTCTTAATGGTGCAACCTATCAGAATGTTAGTCCCAATTCAGTGCTTTATTCCTTTAAGATTAGAATGTAGACTAAAATGTGGAAAATCCCGTCTTGGTCACTTATCTGAGACAATTGATTAGGAACATATTTTATCGTCAGTCTGGCTCTGATTATATGAAACAAAGAAAAATAACCTGTTTCAATGAGGAACCAGATAATTTACTATTGGAAGGTATCCCTCTGCAGAGGACAGATGGCAGTTCCCTTCCAGGTAATGTAGGAAGATGGTTGAAGGACCGAGCCGAGGGCTTCACGTACATGCTGACACACAGGTGGCATAATTGACTCCAGAGCGGATTTGACGTATTACTCAACGTGAAATAGCTGAACAAAAAACTTAAGAGATTGCATGTCAATTTTTAAGCCCAACTGAAAACAGATTTAGGTGCTACTGTGTTGAGAATCATCTAAAAGTAAGTTTTCAAAGTATGAAACTAATTGTTGGATGGGAAAACCATGATTGGGTACTGTGTCTTGGGTGGTGTGCTTTCATTTTTGAGAAACACTTCTTACCTTTTTCTTAGTTTATTCATGTTGCCTCACTGGTTTGTATTCTGATTGTCGTATTTCTTGAGCAAGAGTACTCAAATCGCCACAAGTAGGTGGAAGGATGGGGAGACTGGGCGAGAAGCTCAAGGACCGGGCAGAAGTGGGATTTCCACTGGCAGGGGAGAAGCCAACTATTGCTAGCACAGTGACACTGCTTCCACCCTGGGCAGATCCCTCATGGTGTACCACCTGTCCCCTGTGCTGTCACAGAAACTCCAACCAAGGGAGCACCCCTTAGATGGTAAGGGATGAGCTATGTTTTTAAGTTATCGGATCTACTTTTCCCTTTTACTTTAGCCAAGGCCATTACCAAAAGCATCCAGGTATCTGTGATGGAGGAGGTGGCCTGAGAGCAGAAGTGTTAAGATGTGACTCTTAAGCCTTCAGACCAGAAACCTCAAGCAGGTTTTCAGTGGAGAAATCCAGTGAGATTTTTGCCCTGATCGTTTGTAGCCGACTCCCTCTGAACACCTGTGGGACATGTTGAGCTCCCAGTGTCTTTCGAGGGGAGGCCGCAGCACAGCCCCTCGAGTTCTCTTCCAGCTGCTTCTGTGGAGAGGAAGGCGCTTGTTGACTGCTGATAATACTGGCGGTACATTTGTCTGAGTTTGCTAATAACTGGAAGATTCTTGGCAGACGTACAAAGCAAACTGTGCGGGGGCAGATAAAGCGACACGATGCCAGCTGCCAGCAAGCTGTTCTGCGCAGCAAGGGCTAGAGCCAAGGGCTCTGCCACTGGTCACAGCAGTGAGCAGCCAGCACACAGGTCGGGCAACCTGCCCTGAGCTCAGGCCTCCACCCCCTAGACCAGTGACTGGCAGCCCTGGCCTCTGGTGAGGGCCCTTGGGAGCAAGAGAGGCCTTCTTGATCTAAACACTGCCTCCATAAGCAGTAACTAGGACAAGGAGGAAGACTTGCCCATTGCTTTGCCTTGGTGTGATGAGCCCAGTTTCTGACCATTCCTGTGCTTGTCACAGTAAGTTCAAAAAAGAGGGGTTCAGCTCAGACCTCGTGGCTTTTACAAAGCATTGTATTTAAATAAAGCCTCTGACATTCCTATTCTGTACCTGCTCTCAGACACTTTAGAATTCTATCACAGAAATCATTGACTTCCTGAAAGGTTTTTAAAAGCCCCCACCCATGTGTGCACATGATTGTCACACATAGGTTCTATGGACCTCCTCCCTTGATAGCAATGGGTAATATTTGCTATTAGCTTGTCCAGATGCTGGGGGCGGGGAGGGGGAGTGGAGGAGGTAAGCAGTAGCGCATGGCTTTCTACGGCAGCTTCTGGTACAACTCAAACTAAAAATGAAGTGATCGCATAGGCGCCAGTGGTAAGCTCTTTTACTTTTCTTCTTCTTTAATTTTTAAAAACACTTCAATATTTTAATGTCCTGACCAGCAGCAGTACAAACACTAAAAGCAAGGTTTTTTTTTTTTTTTGCCCAAAAAAACAAAACAAACAAAACCCCCAAACAGGAAAAACAAACAAAAATCCCCCAAACCACATATTAAAAATGGCAGGCTTTTTATAACAATAGTTAAAGTAATAAAAACATACAAAACTTTGTTTTTTTAATATATATACACAGTACAAGGCTGAAGCACCTTTGACTTTTCTCTCAAAATTTACGTCTGTATGAAAACCCCACCCACTGTAGCAACAATCTGGTGGGTGTGAAGCTGTGTATACACAGAGCTCTGTACATGCTCCCCACGGAGTAATAAAAAGGTACCTTCAGTTTGTGAATTGGTTTTATCTTTAGGTAAGAGCTTTTCCAGGGAAAAGCCTTTGGGTTGCTTTGTGTGCTCCTAGGACTTGTTGCTTTGAAGAAAATTTTGCAGGAAAGTAAATGAAACAAATAAGCCCTTTTTTTTACTTACAATGCACCCAACCTTTTCAGCTGAAGCAAGTTTCACTCCTGGGAGGAATGAGACTGGCCCCATCACTGCGGCAAAAGCAAACTGGGCTTGAGGCATAGTAACATGGCAACACAAGAAAGAACAGAACCGGTTTGATCCACTCATCTGCACAGGGGGCTGTCAATGATCACGTTTTAGTGTTGCTAATGGAGCCTTCACGTTCAGATTAAGAAATAATGTGGGCGAGGAAGGACTAAAACCACCTTTAAAAAGAAAAAGTATGGGCAATCCTACATTGGTTGCTCGCTGAATGACAATGGTGATTCAATTGCATTGACGTCAAGGTGAGTTCATTCTTTTTTTCTGGAGCCTGGAATCCTTTGCTTCATGCATGGCACATTCTCATTTTGTAAGCTTCA